AAAAGAAAACAAACTTTTACAAGGCTGTTTTCATGAATAGGAATCGTATAGGCTCAGTAGATTTAAGTCATTTGACAAATACTGAGTGCTTATGCCATAGGTGCCATTTTGAGCACTGGGGCTATAAAAATCAACAAAAAGCTTTGCTGTTAATAGAAAATGACAAGCAACAAGCAACTTTTAAAATGATACAGTGATGGTTAAAAGATTTTTTTTTCTTTTTTTTTGTGGTGGGGGAAATGGGAAATGAAGGAATCAAGCTGAGGCTCACTCAGAGGTTAATCTGTAGGACAAGTGTACAGACTGCGAATATTGAAATGAGTGTGCAAACTGAGGCACAGCTAACCCCCTCCAGGATGTTGGAAGGGAGGTCAGTGAAGTGCTGGAGAGCACAGACCTCACTATTACAGCGGACAAGACTTGTTCTGTGTTGTGGTCAGTTAACGGCACGGTAGACTTAAGGAGCCTCAGTCAGGTAGCCAAGAGGATGTTCTCCTCACAGTGCATCTTACTCCATTGAAGTAGAAATGGTTTTTTTTTTTTTTTTTTTTGGTCTAATTTCTAAATTAAAAAGCATTAGTTTGTATGTTTGGAAGAATATTTAGTAGTGTAATTTTACCTTTAAAAAAACCCGTTTTTATCTGTCTACCCTTATCTTTGAAGACAAAGACAATTTTTTATTTACTTGTAAAGATTACTGTATTGGCTGGAAAGCAAGACGGAGAACAGCTGATTACAGTTTCAATAGGAGGGCCAGGAAAGACTTCCTCAGGAAGTGATAATTGAGAATAGAGTAGATCAGGCCTCTCTCTGCTTCTGCTAACTGATTGTCTTTGCCATTTTACCAGAAGAGCAGATGGGGTTGAAGGCAGGGAAAGTAGAGATTACTCCCTTAGGTTTAGCCATTGGACACTGAGTAGAGATGCTGCATTAAGGGATGAGGCGTGGGCAGGAGGCAAGCATGTGTAAGTTACTTGCACAAGCACTACTTAAAATTCTGTAAAGCAGATGTGACCACCAAAACAACCCAAAAAACCCTGAGAGCTCCATCAGTGTGCGTGCTATTGTGTCATTCCCCAGGGATACAAGCAAATTAAAATTTGCCTTTGCCTGAGAAGTTCATGGTTAGTAGGGAGGCAAGTGTGAACAGTTAATAGGATTATATGTATGTGTGTATGTATGTATATAATATATATATTTATAACATGTTTATAAATATGTTATAAACATACACACACACATATATAATATAAACACATACCCAGTCCAGATGAGTCAGTGAAACGGGATCTGAGAGTCACTCACTCTCACTGTGCTCTGTTTCTTTCTCAGTGCCCATCCATGAAACATGTACGGAAACCTGTCCATGTGTGGCAGCTTTAATAGTGAGTGACTGTCCATTTAGCAATTAGAATTGTGTGTGTGGGGTCAGCTTTATCCGATCCTGTCATTGGCTAGGAACATAATGTAGCATCTGAAGCAAAAAGCAATCCTCCATGCAAAGGGTAGACATTGCTGGCTGTGCACCCCGTCTTCCTACCTCCCCACGCAAGGGAGAAGGGCTGTGAACCTTCCCTGGTCTGCAAATACAGTTCTAGTGAAGAGTTTTTACTAGAATTAAATGGGAGTAAAACATTTGTATATAATCATTTTGTGCATTTTAAGTATTCAATAAACAGGTAACAGAAAAAATATTCAACAAAAGTCTAATTTAACCTTACATTAAGAGACACGAAAACCGCTCACCAAGATAGATGTTGTGGTTCACATTTGTTTTTGTTCTTGTCTTTTTCAATTTTTATTTTTTCACTTTTTATGTGTACGGATGTTTTGCCTGCCTGCGTGTCAGAGTACCAGATGCATGTAGTGCCTATGAGGGCCAAAAGAGGGCGTCCCCTGGAACTGGAGTTTCAGAACTGCCGTGGGAGTGCTGGGAATTGAACCTATGTCCTTTGGAAGAACCCCGAGTGTTCTTAACTGTTTAGCTGTCTCTCCATTCCTTGTGCTACACATTTTTGACCCTAGCAGGAGGATCACAAGTTCAAAGCCAGCCTAGGCTAATTACAATTAGGTGTGTGTGTGTGTGTGTGTGTGTGTGTGTGTGTGTGTGTGTGTGTG